GTCAGAGGCCGAGTTCCGAAACGCGATCACAGCCCTTAATCGTTTTGTGCCGCTGGCCCGGATTCCCTCCCACCTGCACTATTTAAGGATGGAGCTGTGGTCCTCTACAAAGCACTGACCCCCTTATTCGAATGTATCTGGAAGGAAGAGATTGTCCCGGCTAATTGGAGCGAATCGATTATAGTGGCAATATACAAGAAGGGCAGTCGCACAGACTGTTCTAACCACAGGGGTATTAGCCTAACGCCAGTTGTGACAAAATTACCGGCCACGATTATCGTTCGTCGCCTCACTGCGGAACTGGAATCTCGGATTAATGAAGAGCAAGCCGGTTTCTGCCCAGAACGTGGCTGAATAGACCATATATTCACTTTGCGGCATGTGCCAGAGCAGCGCCACGCATACCGCAGACCGACAATAGCTGCGTTGCTCGATTTCAAGTGTTCGTTCGATTCAGTCGATCGATCGATTCTGTTCGAAATACTTGCGCGGAAAGGTGTTCGCACGAAATCTGTGAACATCCTTCGTGCTCTATACTCGAACACTACAGGACGCGTCAGGGTCTACGGTGGCCTATCGGATAGCTTTCCGATAACAAGTGGCGTTCGTCACAGTTGTCCGATTTCCCCATTTATGTTCAATATCGTCTTGGGTGCTATCATGGAGTGTCCCCTTGCGGAATCTCACGTTGGAGGCATTGAAGTGCTGCCTGGTGGAAGGCTAGTTGATCTAGATTATGCGGACGATATCGTCTTGCTTTTCGACGATGTTGGGGCCGCACAATCAACCCTGAATAGCCTATCCGCAGCGGTCCTATTAATTGGTATACACTTCCCACTTCAAAGTGCAAAGTGTTGCTGCAGGACCACCAGCCACTTGATGACCCCTTGCCGCTTGCTAACGTGGAACTCGAGGTGATTGATCAATTCACTTATCTTGGCAGCTGCATCCGCAATGATTGGCACATGGAAACTGACGTTAGCTCACGCATTGCAAAGGCCAGAGCTGCTTTCTTGAACCTGCGGCATCTTTGGAGACAGAAAGGAGTTTCCCTTCGTCAGAAAGGCCGTGTATACAAGGTCACAGTGATGGCCATTCTGCTCTATGGTGGTGAGACTTGTCCCCCTTCCGGTCTGAAGATCTGAGGCGCCTTCAAGTCTTTGATCATCATGGCCTGTGAAGCATTGCTGGAGTCAGATGGCACCAGCGTGTCCGCAACGATGATGTGCGTAGGCGATTACTAGGTGGAGATAGTCATGCTAGCTCCCTAGAACAACAGATAGCACTGAATAAGTTGCGTTGGCTCGGGCACGTGCTACGTACGCCTGGTCACCGCTTACCTTGGAGGGTCTTGTTTAGTCAGCCAGGTGTAGGGTGGCGCAAGGCTCGAGGTGGACAGACTTGACTTGGCAGCGGGAAATGAAGTCACTGCCAACCAAACTGGGTGCCGTTGGTCCGTCTCGCCTTCCGCGCTGGAGTCCACGTGATTCGCCTTGTGCTTGACTCGAGACTTTGCAGGACATGGCTCGCAATCGACACCAGTGGTGCGTCTGCTGCCGTCTCCTAATCGGATTGCCTGTTTAAAGTGTGTTTGGTGCTGACTTATCTGCAGGGTACTGGCTGATTATGATGCGTGGCAGTGAAAGCCGCAATGAAGCTGTCTCGCCGATGCCGCCTTATCTTTGCACGATAGCCAGCTGTTTGTGACGGTATGTTGTCTTCACAAGGTGTAGGCGCCTTGACCCTGAATGTTTGCTTAGGGCATTATGGTTTTCAGGTAAGTCCCCCTTTTCTCTCTCTTCTAATTCTTTATTTCATGGGTCCTCATGGTTGTATGACAGCGAAGCATCAGTTCAAATGGCTGATGTACTGCTGTTGATGATGATGATGATGATGATGATGCTGATGAGCTTGAGCTTCGCGGTCATCAGTTAGTCAAAACTCTAGTACAAGGTAAATTAAGTTATACTTTTCGTTGCTCCAAGATTGAATACATCAATGTTTTGTGTCCTCTGCTTATGCTCGCTCCATTGACGTCTGGAAAAATCCTAATGCCGCGCGAATCAGTCCGAGGAAGAAAGGTTGACAAAAGAACCATCTCAACATTGTTGCCTTATTGTAGTGTCACCTGTATCGGCCGTGGTTCCCCGTAATAGGTTAAGTTTGAGTTCCGTACAATGCGTACTATGCTAGCAGATTTGGCTTGGAGGTCGAACATTTTAGCTTTTATGTGATGCCCGCTAGGTTCAGGAACACTGGAACAAACGATAATCAGCGACTCGTGGGCTCATCCAGTAGTAGCTGGCTTGTGAGTGTGTTGGATATAGAATTTCGGTAGAGTGATAGGCGCATGTGTGGCAATTCTGGCGCCTTGTGTGTTTGTGTCAGGTGCAGCCATCGAAATTACTCTTGTTGCTTAGTCAGTGACAACGGAGGCGTATCTAGTCACACCATTAGCTAGGGGGTTCACATTTGACGGTATAGCCTGCTACACAAAGTTGTCTTGAAGTGATATCGCCTGAGCATGGTTGGGAGTCGCCTTAACAGCTGGAACTAGGTTGTTTGCATGTTTTCGGATTGGCGTTGTCCTTGTGTCCTCACTGTTTTATACTTACCTCTGGTTCGGTCATTAGGTTCAGTTATGGAGCCTTGGACTCCGAGCCTGCCTGCAGTTGCATCCGTTTCATAACAATACAAGTCATATTCTTCGGCACTCTCCACCAGGTTATCACATTTCTGTGCCAAACTTGCTACGCATGCAATAAGTGTGGTGGCCATATAATCGATGCAATAACAATAATAGCGTACTAGTTTGTTCAGGTCCGTTATTTTCCTTGTATTTCAACCAGGACACTTAACTTAATAATATTTGCTGCATTGCGAACAAAAAGTTCCACACCGTATTGTTTGCTCCTATCACCAAATACTGCCCGATATTGTCTCACTAGGCTTCTTTATGAGTTAGGCTTTGTTACGCTTTCTGTTCACAGTAATGTGTAGGCCCAGATTTTGATAGAGGCAGTTGCTTACACATACAAAATTGCACGCACATGCACATGGAGTCAAGTGACTGGGTTTCTGAACTAGGTTGGCGCGCTGGAGCTAGATGTGATGTATGCTAATCACACAAATGGAGACTAGGTAATGCGTCGATTTCCGATCAATTGGACAATGGTGTATTGTAGGATGGAAATTATTGAGAAAATAAATATTAATGACAATGTGGAAAACATTTTGGTGGACTCACTATAGACCTGCATGTGTGATGTACTTGTTACAAAATGTAAGTCCAAAAATCCAGTGGTGGGAATTTCGGAAACACACCGTTTGGTTGTGTTTTGTAGCGACCTGACTAACACAAGTTACAAAATGAAATGCTAATGGGCAGTAGCTTCGTCAAGTCGTTTGTTAACTATTGTTAGATTGGTGGCAGAGACAACCTGATTTAGGAAAACTTTCCATAGCTGCTATACTCGAAGTGAAAAGAATTTTCCACGACATTCAAGCCGGTTATGCAGTATTATCAGTTTCAGAGGATGACCTCTTGGGTTAATGTTGTGGGTCACTTCCTGCAGCGAATAGCAAATATGATTTGGTTTCTTCAGAGTCTGGTAATCCGTTGTGAGGTCCCTCAGCAAATGCGGCTATCTACTGCTGTACACTCCTAAGTACTTCAGTCTAAGCTGATAGGGCACATAGAAGAGGTCTCTAACGATATTGATTGTCCTTCGCTGAGGCGTCTCGTGACTAACGAGGTCCTGATTCTGCTACGGCTACAAGGCTTGGACGACAAATTCCACGTGATGTCCTACGTAAGTGTTAAGCATTTGCGGGAAGATTGAGAGGTCCTACCACCCGAGCGGTTTGTGAATAAAGCCAATTTGTTGGTTACCGGTTCTAGACGCCTTCTATGCTTGTTTTGAGCATCCGAGATCGTCCTATATAAATACACCCAACTCATACTCCTGAGAGGTTTTCTGCAAGGTGTCTTCACGCTTGTAACCATTCACTGGCTGGGGACGCAGGTGGTTCACCCTGCAGTTAGCTCTGTTCAACAGGGTTAGGTTCATTGTTGACAATTCATATTTGTCATCCAAGTCATGCTGGTGAACATCTTGATCTTCCGGGGTATTAATCGCTCCCCGTATCTTGACACCATTAACGATTGCTTTGAACACCGCGATACTTGAGTATTTGCGGGGTTGAATATTGGATTAACAGAAGCTATAAATCTGGCGCAGGGACAAAACACAGTGTTGAATGCTTATGAGTTTAATTCGTTCGTATATGTTGGAGCAAACTAGTTCGAGTGAGATTAAAAATGCCACTGGGTACGTGAACAATGAAGTATTTGTGCGCGTGAACTTCAATAACAACGCCATCCGAATTGCCGAAAGTAAGTACTAAATTGTAGTGTTAAGCATAATCCGGCAATTTAATATCCACTTTGTAGAGCTGATAAATTCGAGTGGAATGAGTCTAGCTTCAATGAGAGACAACATGCAAGAAATGGCGGGCTCTGAAATGTTGTGGCCGCGAGTTTGACTGGCTTACCAATGACATCAGCCCGCTTTAAAATTAATCTTATAAGCAACCAATGTATATATTACAGAATGCATTGGTCATGTATGTTGTTTGTGTCTCGGCTCTCCCATGAGAAACAGAGGCAATGCGGTCTTTTTAGTTCTGTGCTGTTCCTGACTTACTTGCTCTCTTTACTTTGGTACATATACGACTGGTTCGTAACTTTCTAATGGCACACCTTTTCCATCGGAGTATGTGGAAGCACTAGATTCAGGAATCCAGGTAGGGCTGTTGATCGTCGTGACAGCTTTTATTAACTGACATTGCCGATTAATTTGTGTGGAGCCTACACCGGACATCAGTATGGCTTCTAGATTGAACATAAACGTAAGTTCATAACCTTGTTAAACTTGGTCACTGACGCATTAGTTGTCTTAATAATTTCATGTGCTCGTATTACCTGTCACCTACTTTAGATGCCCCGTTCTGTTCATCGCTGGATCCTTGTCGTCACAGCGACGGGCATGCCGTCAGTTGTACGAGGATTTGATGAGGGCACAGAAAGACAAAGGTGGAAGTTCGATTTCTCGGGAATATTTTGAGATAGACGGAGTTGCCAACGTCATTACCGAAAGGGTAAGTAATGGGTCGCGTCAGCGTAACCGCCTCTGCACTGCCGAATCCGAAATCGTTTTCACACACCTGTTGTTAACAAATACCGTGAACAAAATAATTGAACAGTTTATTTCTCGGCACTAATTTCGTGATGCTGATAGTGCATCTCTTCTGTTTTTACGTCCATCTTGGCACTAATAAGCACTTTTAGCAGAACAAAGCACGTCAACTGGCTTTTTAACATTGTTTTTTCGAGAAAAACCGTTATTTTTCTCTTATGATCCTTAATAGTTTGACGAGCAGCACCATATTCAGTATTGAACGTTTTGTACCACCCAGTGGTTTTTAATTAATAGCTCTTAACAAAACGACTGCAGACCATTCACGTTCAAACTGTGACACTCGTTTCACTATCAATGAAGTTGTGATCCAGGTTGGAAGTTCGTAGTTGCCATTTCAAGCCATCCGAGCAAGCTATGTTTATGTACGCGTTTCAATGGAATGTTTTTTCTCCCCTTTTTCTTTCTCTCAGCCGGAGAAAGTGGTCAGCAGTATGCAGTATTTCCTTCAAGGTCTTGGCTTACGTAAGTGACGTGATGGCAATTTGCACTTGATGGTATTCCGAAGTAACGCATTTATATCTATACATCTACATCTTCTGATGCGAAACTTAGCTGCATTGTTGTTTGAGTAAATTCTATATTGTTATCGAAAAATCGGTTTTAAGAAACAATTAGTTCCCTTCAACTTGTTTAAAATTATAGTGAAAAGACACAATTTGGCAGACGCATGCATTGCATGCCGTCTCGTCAATCGCAAAAATGGTACAATGAACAACAAACAATGAATTTATGCGGGTTAAGAAGCGTTGCTTTAAAAGTCCCGTTGGATAGTTGCTGGGGATAACAATAATGATGATAAGGATAGTAAAATAGTTAACACTTTAAATAGGAAAATAAGAACTTATCGTTTGCTTCGCTGCAGTCCTGCGATCCTCTTAGATTCACAGCACCCACAGTTAACAACAAATAATTCCATGGTAAACTCCAGGTGTAGGATGGAGACGTAGTGTTAAGTAACAAAGTGTAAGTGGATGAGTGCATCGTCCAACCGTCTTTTAAATACTGTTAGTGTCGGTGCAGAGACGACCGATTCTGGGAGAGCATTCCACGGGTGACAGACACGAATGGAAAGGAAATTTCTGCAACACTCCAGACGACTGTATTGTTCTGTTTAATGAGTAGCCCCTCAGGTTTGTATTGTTGCTGAGTTGCAGTAAAGATCGGCACACATGATGTGGGTCTCGCAGAATCAAGTATGCCATACTCAGGTCGCCTCATAGTCTGCGATAGCTTCCAGCTTGAAATCACGTACAACGATTAAGTGATGCAAACAAACATAAAAACAAGCAATAGCAATAACAACGGAACGTGCCACTATGTCCAGAGTAATCTGCGATTGACCGAACCTTTATGTTGTAGGCAAAGCGCCTGTTTACTCCGGTTCATTGAGAGAGCCTCAGCAAATCGCAGGAGCTGCGAATTGGTGTGATGCGACAGTATTTTGAATGCCGTGCTTACCTCGAGCAGATGGCCTGAGGTCAACAAGCGTCAGACGATCGAAGATGCCAGTGGCCTGTGTGTACTCGTAGTCTAACTTTGGGGCCGTTTGTTGAGCTATCTAGCATTGAGACCAATACAGTACGTGCTTCTTTATTCAAGATCTCAGAGTCTTATCGGTTGTGCCTGTGTAACCGACTCCGCAGTTACACACGAATTGGTATAGATAGTAAGCGTTAGCCCCGATAGACAGTGTTTCCTTTAATGGAGGTAGCCGGCAGCTTATGAGTCGATGACAGCAACTTCGGCAACACCGAAAGCACCCTGTGTGGCAGAGACCAGACGCCTGGTAGTCCTCAGTGTAGCTATGCCACTTTTAAAAAGCAGCTCTAAGGTAATCTTCGTAGGTACGTTTGGCACCGGGTCCTGCCTTCCGCTGCATTGGCTGTGTATCTCAATCTATCTCAGAGGGTAGCCGTTTGCAATCAGTGTATTAGTCATCAGCTCTACTTTATGGGCCAGATATTCGTCTGGCACGACTGAATAGGGTCTTCACGAACATCCGTTTGTCCCGCAATGGATTGAAACTGGCGAAAACTGGTACTGGCCAAAACACGTTGCTTTTCGGTGGACTGCTGTTTGGTCTTGTCTGTTCGCTGTGCGGCTAATGAAAATATTTAAGTAGGGAAGGCATTTCTTCTGTTCAACACCTCAGATGACTTACGACTTGGCCTACACAGCATTTGAACATGTCACTAGTTGCATAAGCCGCCGCTCTGATAAACAAAACACCAAGATATCATCTACATAGCTTTTGTAATATGACAGCTGAGCTAGTTCTTCGGATATCCCTCTCTCTACCATCAACATAAGCAAATCCGCTAGAATGGACCCCGTGAGCTACCCATGGCTACTTCATCAATTTGACGATATGGTCTGCATCTGAAATGAAATTCCACATTCTCTGTAACCAGAAACAATGATTCTCGTTGGAACCAGGCGCAGTCATTTCAACCAATTAGCATCTCGTAGATATCAACTGAATCGAAGGCAACTGTGCAGCGTTTTCCGATCTTACTACCTAATTGTGCTTAAATTAGCTGCAATGTTAGTCAGACCAATACTTAAGTTGACGTAATTACTATTCATCTAACCTTTTGACCATTTTATAACAAATCCCTATCTAGTACTAAATTTCAGTTGCAAAACCTTTTCCCTTCTGAATTTGCCAAATCTCTCCGCGTGTGCATCTATGTACTTTAGTGCTTATGGGTCAAAGCGGCGACGATCGTTGTGTTTAACCATGGTTTTGTTTAATTTCGGCCAGGGTCAGATATATCGAGTCATTAACACACCATATTTGAGAACGGTGGGAGCCTTTCTGCCAGTTTTCATAGCTGAGACAAACTGGGGATTGGTATGCAGCAGATTGTGCGAACCTGGATAATTTGAAGCAAGGGCAGTTCAACGTGAAATGTCCGCCATCACTGAATGAAAGGCTCATTTTCGATGTGTTAAACGTGAATTATGCTACTTCTATTCATACTTTTAAACACTTATGCGTCCATCTGTACCCCCGCTTCAGGCACATTAGTAATTGCTCAATCTTTGCCACATGCAGTTTGTGGTACCTCAACCATCCTTTGTTCCAGACAACGCTTCATAAACCTGACACACGGCTGAATCATGGCCAGATAGTTCTAGCAGTCAAACGTTTTTAACTAGTGATATGTGAGTGGGTATTGTTAGATAGCTGCCTACCTGCTAGACCCATGTACTTTCAGTTCACCGGGAATGTCTCCTCACAACTTGTTAACGCTTCCGCGGATGTGTTGTAAGCACGATAGCGTTCAAATGAATGTTATATCGATAACTTGACGTCAACAGTATCGAAAACAAAATATGTTCTCTAAACGATAGACACTCACCAGCGAACATTGCAGTTCTGGTGGTGGTAAGGTCGTCTAGGACTGCTTGAAACGATCAGCTATCGACAAATTCAGCAGACATATTTGGGCTGTAGAACTGTTCTCGAATAAACGCCAATAACATTAGGAAACAACCACGCGATTATGCTTAACTTCTTTTACGCATCTGTCGCAAAGGTTAGCATTTCCAACCATTACGACCAGGCTCTTACTAACGATTTATTGCTGTGATCTATACACCTGCTTGCTTCTTTTACAGTAAGCAATTTGAAATTGCAGAAAACTCCAATGAGCTTAAATCGCCGAATGTCCATGCAAGATTATGATCGTCCGCTGGGAAAAATGCATTTTGTGAGCAGACTGTCTCAGCAACTTACCGAGGAAGCAGACTGAGGGACATTTAATGTCATCTTGGGATGCAGAATGCTGCGTCTACTCAAGTGCAGTTTCACATCTTGGCACTACACAGATTTGACGGTAGAGAAACATTTGTTCGAGTGAAACTACTCCGGAGGATTTTGAACCCACACCTTCTTATGTCTATCTGAAGATTCCTGGAAGCATTGGATAACTCCTGTATTAATCCGCATGTAGTGTACACTCCGCGCCATCGGGTTTTGGGTATCTCGTCGCCTAGTTTACTTTTGCTTCCTTGCTTCCTATATTTGTCGCCCACTGTGTATACTTTACCCCAATATTATATAAATACACATACATTCGACCGCAACGCTTTGTGTTGTTCAACTAGTTAATCTGCACTTCCGATGGTTGCAAACCCATCTAATATTTTGACCGTAGGAAGGAAGCCGCTACCTGCTTTGATGTTTGAGACGGACTCCAATCGAAGCCGAAGTCCGACGTAAGTTGCCCTCCCATGAAAAACTAAAATATCCTCATCCTACTAGGGTACTTATTCCACGCGTGTAATTGTCCCGCGCAGATGAATTCTTGGAGGTATTCGCACGTGAGGTTTTTTTATTGATCTCGTATTTAAGTGCCATACCTACCTGAATTTCTTCTTCACTTGCTCACGCTACATACATACCCGCCATCAAGCCGAGATCATTGAGTTCCCTGAGTTGTACAGATCAGGAGGGAAAATAGTTGAGATGATAAAATGCATTAAGGATTTTCGTAAGTTAGGTTGTTTGTTCCAGTTTTTAACGAAACCAAGTCACCGCGTAATCCTTGACGGCTTATTGTCCATTAATTACAAACATAGTTCTGAGTACGAGCATGTGAAATACAAGTACTTAGTCTCAAGTTGTTTGCTGATCACAGTTTTCACTCTCGTGTTTGTACTTTGGTGTACAACACGGTTGATCTCTGTCATGTGCAGCTTTCGTTCCTGACATTAACCATTGTCTTGCTGAAACAACGTTCGAATACTTACAATGGGGAAAATGTCAAAAGTGCATAAAATTCGACTTCTAGTTCTGCTTTTTATTTGCTCAAAAGCTTTGTTCTTTTTACTGCCAACAATTTACTCTGACAGCAGTCTACCAGTTCGTTGTCGGAAATGTCAGTGTATTGTTTCCCGAAAGACTATATATATATATATATATATATATATATATATATATATATATATATATATATATATATATATATATATATATATATATATATATATATATATATATATATATATATATATATATATATATATATATATATATATATATATATATATATATATATATATATATATATATGTAAGCAGCATCCTAATGAATGGACAGATTTGACCAAAACCACGGAAACCGACTGTAGACACAGGTGGAATTGTAGCAAGAAAAATAGAACATATTTTGTCATTTTCACAAGTGGTTGCATCAATTTTTGTCAACTTTTAATCTCTAGGCTTTAAAGATTTGAATCCAAAGAGGTGAGTACACAAAACCTCCCCCTTGGCCTCGAGTACACGCTACATCCTGAATTGTTTCTAGCCATAAGCACCCTTGTTTAATTAGTCTTTAACTAGGCAGTTATATGGATTCAATGACCGCAAGATGTGGTTAGCAAGTCCAAATGCTGTCAACATGCGAACAGCTGTCTACTGCGATGTCTCTCGCAGCCAGTTCCTGTAAGACGGCAAACCCTCAGCTGATATACACGGCATAACCAGCGTGCTTCTGGTGATGCTAACATTTCCAAGACAGGTCATGTGACTTTAACATTGCATATAAATGGTTGCCACCACATACAAGCAATCCACTTTAAGCATCACTGTCGAAGGCCGAGAGCCGGCACATGCCATCCATACCAACTGGCCACGGCCCTTTACAAAGTGTGAGACATACCGATGACACTAAAAGTGTTTCAGGTTGACAAACCCTGACCGATCCTTTGCAATGCGGATAGAAACCTCCTCCCAGTGGTGCCTCCAGCAGCCACGCAGTGGGAACGTGCCAGGGTCAATCCAGGACCAAAACCTTACATTTCGACGGTACGAAGGACATTCCTTATGTATATACCGTAATCATCAATCGGTTTAGAATGGTCTGCCTACTCTGCGAGTCGTCACCAAGTAAAGAGATATCATCCGTGTAACTAATTCTGTCGCTAGCTTACCCTTGCAGCAGATACAGATCTAAATATGCGTAACTTTCCAGAGCTCTCGACATGATTTCTTTAATCAGAAAACGATGCAACGCTGCTTTGTTCACGATAGAATTGCGCTATGGTCCTTAAGATCTGGGTAACTTGTTCTAACTGCATTAGATCGTTCCATCCGAAGTACAAAGGAAACGCCGCCAAAGAGGTCAGGCGGATGAATAAAGTTACTAGCCCGTTTTGGTATTGTCCAACATGTCAAGTAATTTCATCTGTCAACTTTTTACATGTACTGCTAAAGAGTACCATAGGTTGACTGAGACAATCGCGCATTTAGTAAATACCAATCTTGCACCTACGGAGGTAAAATTCTCCACGTTACTGAACCAGCCAGCACAAGTTACTCCACTTGGCCGAAGAAGAGACCCAGATGCTCCAAGCGCACTGCAGTGCCTGTATATCCCAATCCTCTGGCTCATCTCACTGCCATAAGCGGATCAGCATCAAGCATGTCTGCTTCTAGTCCTTTCAGCAGTGCAGTCTACATGAAGCCAGTGATGATAATGGCGGCTCCGAGCAAGATTTCGTCCACCATAGAGAAAAGCTGGACATCGTACGCATAAGTTACTTCCATGCAAAAGCCAAAAAACACCCTTGACTCCGATAGCAGCACCAAACAACATTACGGTAAAGCAGCTTCTATGAACAACCAAGACGTTTAAAATGGTATCCATTAATTCAAAATTGGATTTGGCGTACCCGCCGTGTTGGTCCATTGCGACACGTGATATCAATTGTGACGTCGGTTCACTTTGAATTGGACCTCGGTCATTCCAGACACAAAGAGCATATACGAAGTGGAGATGTTTCGATGTTTTTTCTCCCAACCTTGACACCCATTAGCAGTTTCCTCCTCTTTTGGACTTATCAGCTGGAGATAGACTGTGCTGGGGTGGAACTCGGGGCCTATTGCTTAAAGGCTGACGCCTTGATCCTTATGCCTCTAAGCTCCGTGAGCAACGCTTGGCACAGCGGTAAGCAATTCAAAGTTGGATTGTGAAGTACCCGCCGTAAGGTTGGATTGCGACACGCAATCTTAATTGAGACCTCGGTTCACTTTGAAGTAGACCTTGGTCATTCCGGCCACGAAGACCGTATCCGATGTGGAGGTGTTTCGGTGTTGCTCCTTCCATTAATAACCTCGAATCTGCAGTCAACATAAGAAACTACGTTGTTTTGACTGTTATGTGCACGAACTTTTCTAAATAGAGGTCTAGTACCACAAAAGAGAAACCGATGGACGACCGTGATCAGTGGAACTCAATTTGCGGCGCAGTTGTCATTGTGGTTAAGCCCACAACACCAGGACGGGTCCCACGTCACCCAAATTCAGTACATTACGGTGAACTCAACTTCTGCTGGGGACACTGAGTTCCGCTGATGACACAGAGGCCGTTCTACTATTTTTAATTCGGCTCCCTAACTCATAACATGAGACGCGCTTACTCCCGCACATCTCTTGGTAATAACGTCAGAAGAAGGAGATCATCCGTGTTAAAGCTCGCAAAGCTGACGAAAAGCGGACGATTTTTGTTTACGGGGTTCCTGAGATCCAAACATCCTCCTCTGAGGAAGCGGCGACTCACGACCGGGAGCAATGGTGTTGCATCCGCCAGGAACTCTTTCTCTACAATATTGTTGCTAAGCAGTTGATAAGGATTTCGGTATCTCCCAACTACATGGGCACGGTCTTCGGCTGATGAAGGTGCAACAACAGTCTGAGCTCATGACACCGCTTATATTGAAAAACTGGTCTAAATTCCACAAGAAGCTGCCTACAGAAATTCGGTTAAAGGCAGCGGGTGCACGGCCACAGGTGGCTCACAACTCATTAGGGACAAACAAATTGGTTAATGTTTCCCTCATACAGCAATTTTATGAGATTAATATAATGACAACCTCAGCATCAGACGGGATAAAACCAAACACCAGAGACCATTGGGGCCGGGACAGCTCATAGCAGTTGCATAATAAGACCGAAATTCAAAGGTCAAATAATTCTCAAAAAATGCTTAATGACTGACAGCTCAATGGTAGGCAGCAACTCTAATCATTTCAACATACAATGTCTTAATCACGGTTACTGAAAAATTGACCTATTTGTATAATAACACGAAGGGCCTATTAGTAACTTCCTCGAACTTCGTCAACATCAGACTTCGGAGCCTCCAGATATCGTACTGATCACCGAAAAGTAGTTGCGCTGTGAAATTACCGAATCTGCGACCTGAACAACACGCTAAGAGGACGAAAACTCGTAGATGCATGCATTTCGTATTGTCTCGTTAGTACCATTAATAATAACTGAGATGCAACCACGTAAATAACTATGGGTGTGGCCAAACAAGTTTGGGGTGCAAAACAAATGATAAAAGTTCTACCCCTTTGTCCATGGCAGTCTTAAACTCAAATAATTGTTTTTGAACACACTGGGCTTACTCCATCTGGCTTATTGCCACAACTCGGCGAAACGGAGGAACCAAGGATTGGGATGACGTAACAAGATTGTGAACGCTACTTCAAGCTGTATCCGGGGACGCGTGACCAGTATGTTTACCTAATGAAGAAGCTGACAGCCTACGCGAGCACGAAGATTCAGGGGGGTGGGGCAGGGATGCTGGTCAATTTCACGTTGTACCCATCTCGGCACGTGTTCCTTTATTTGGAAAGTCAAAGAACGCTCAGTTCTGCCTATGTAACTGGATCCGCAGTCGCACACGAATTGGTATAGGCAGTGTGAATTGGCCGCGATCGGCTGAGTTTACTTCGTCTTTGGAACGTGCAAATTATGAGTTCTGTTGATGACCACAACGTGAGTAGCATGGTAACTTCGCTGTGTAGCAGAAATTAAGCCTTGATGCTAATTTATTTGGTCCACTTTTTTCACTTTCAACTTTAATTTCTTCTATTCCCAAACTACGGACTATGTTAAGCCTGTGCTTTTTTATCCGTTATAAAACATTGTTTCATTTAAAGTGAATAGAAAAAGAGACATAGGGCGGTACTGTTGCACACCGCTGTTAACAGCAACGGAAGAAGGATTTTCATACATCTTCCCTCTGCTGAAGACGTAGAGGTATAGGGCGCGTAGGATGGCAGTATCCTT